CACATCACCTGCTGTATAATTCTCTAACAGTTGTTTAGTTGCTACAACTCCACCAACTGCTTTATGCTCTGGACTCGGGTTTGTTTCTAACTGACTTGATATTGAACTCAATGTATTTATTGCTAATGTATGCTTAAATGATGGGCTTGCTATAGATAAAGCTATATTACATACAGTTTTTACCGCAATACTAATAACCCACGGATTATAATGGTTTACTGCATCATGTTGATTCAAAGCATCTGAAACTCTTGTTTCTAGATTATTACTCATATAATCCTTAGACATAAATATTCCTGCTCTTGCTATCGGTATATAAAAACTTTGAGCTCCTGCTTGATATCCCAAGGCAGATGATGTAATTGCCAATACAATTGCTAAGGAATATTGCAATTCTTTGCCACCCAATAAATCATGCCCTAAATTCTCATTTAACAACATTCCTGTTGCTAATATATCTAATTTACCCAAATTTACATAATGACCGCTAGAATATGATGTGTTTCCAATTGCTTTATGAGCATAACAATCTTCATCTTTTATCTCTTCTCCTCCCAAATTACTATACGACATAGCAAGTTGTTTTATTGTTTTCAGTATTGATTTATCTTTCGTTGCTGTTGCAATATACATAACGGCATGATTGCCTTTTATTCCATTTACATATGATATACCTATTTCTATTCCTTTTTTATCTTTAAATAGACCTCTTAATTCACTTAACATAATTAAACAATTATCCCCACAGGTGCTGTCATCTTTTTGTATTCCTAAAGCATGGTATTCTGAATTATTACCTAATAATGATTGAATAGTCAGTTTAAATTCAGAGTTTTTATCCAATGTATCAATCACATCTGTATATAAACCATTTTTTTGATTGATTTTTAGTACCGTATTAAGATGATATACGTTTGTTTCAATATTAAGATTAGCATCATTATTGATCTCTCTTAATCCTTGCTTAATTTCATCTACTCTCAACCCTCCTGTTCCATCACCGCATAATTCCATATTATCTTTATCTTTCTCATCATAACTAGTTCTCATCCTTTTAATTTGTGGACCTAAATCCACTTCTTTTTTAAGATTTTCTTCCCATTTCGATTTATTCGATTTTAGTGTTGTTAGTAGTGTATTATATGAAATAATATAATTATCATTATATGTTGTATTCATAACATGACTACTAGAAGATAAATCTTGGAATTTTAAAGTTATCAATTTAGTTGATTTATCAATATAATTAACTAAAGATGCAACTAAATGATC